TGAGACCAATCAAAATAAATGAAATTCAAGAGGTAACGCAGAGAGAATCGGCCGTATCGTTTGCTTTGACGTCACACTGTGTTCTTTATGCGAGATTAAGATTCCAAATGATAAAGCTACTTCCTGAGTTACCCTTTAATAATTATAAACACACAATGCACGAATCCTTATGCGTGGAACACACTGACTAATTGTGTAGAAATCGCCTCGAATTATAGAATACTCGCCCAAGAAGCTGCAATCTTCCAGTGCAACGGACACCCACGGCACCACAGATATTTGGCGATACATGAGCGTCGCACAGCTGGCAAAGACGTTGCAGCGACCTTTGGGTAAGTGGCAAATCGTGAGTAGAAATAAACGATGCTAACACGTTTCCACCTTACCGTAGACGATGTGCAGGAGGCGATGCTGTATGTGCCCGGCGCGGACAACATTGAGGCAAGCGCCAAGCTGGAGGATCTGAAGATAATTCAGAACATTGCCAAGAAGCTGGGCGTTAAAACGCGAGTTGTGGCCGCACCTGAGTCAAGCGTTGAGGACGAGCACACGGAGCGTGATGTGTCGCCACGCCCGCCAGCTCCGCCGGAACTGCTCAAGCACCGTCCGCCTGTGGTAACGGTGATGGGCCACGTGGATCATGGCAAGACCACGCTGTTGGACTCCCTCCGTGGTGCAGATGTGGCCGCTGGCGAAGCAGGTGGCATTACCCAGCATATTGGCGCCTTTACGGTTACACTCGAGAACGGCGAAAAGGTCACGTTCCTGGATACCCCCGGACATGCGGCATTCAGTGCGATGCGTGCACGAGGAGCCATTGCCACAGATATTATTGTCCTTGTTGTCGCCGCCGAAGATGGTGTTATGGCGCAAACACGCGAAGTCATCCAGCTGGCCAAAGAGGCAGAGGTGCCCATAATCGTGGCGTTAAACAAGATTGATAAGCCCGAAGCGAATATTGTAAGACTTTTATTGTTATATACAGAAAATATCCACTAATAACTTAATTTTTCAGGAGAAGAGCAAACGTGAGTTGGCCCAAATGGGTTTGGCGCTAGAAGAGCACGGCGGTGAGGTCCAGGTTATACCCATCTCGGCTCTCAAAGGCACCAATTTAGAGCTGCTAGCCGAGGCAGTTAGCACGCAAGCTACGCTGATGGGCCTGAAAGCAGATCCCACGGGTCTTGTGGAAGGCATTGTGGTGGAGTCGAAGACTGATCCACGCCGCGGCAAGCTGTCCACGGCCATTGTCACTCGCGGCACATTGCGCAAGGGATCGGTGCTGGTCAGTGGCCTGGCCCATGCCAAAGTTCGTGGTCTGTTCGACCACAATGGTACACCCATGATAGAGGCAGCGCCAGGAACGCCCGTGGAAATACTCGGGTGGCGTGAACTGCCGCTGGCTGGCGAGCTGATACTGGAGGTGGAAACGGAGGTGAGCTGTGTGCATCAAGTATGTTCCACGTTCTTGTTTGAATGTTTCGTTTTTTTTAGAAAAAAGCGCATTCGGTTCTGAAATATCGCGAGCACCAGGAACAACTGGCGAGAGTCGAATCGAGCAGCGATGAAATCCGTAAGAAAGAGGAGGAACATCAAGCAAAGTACCGAGCAGCGCGTGAGGCTCGCCGTCTGGCCGGATACTTTAGGATGCGACGCGGTCAGCGTGTGAAGCAGGTCGATGAGAACGACGGCGTTCCACGCGTGAGCGTCATCATCAAGGGCGATGTCCACGGGTCAGTTGAAGCCATACTGGATGTGTTGGAAACCTACAATAGCAACGATCGCTGCCGCCTGGACATCGTGCATTACGGCGTGGGCAATGTCACGGAGGGTGATCTTGAGTTGGCCAAAGCCTTTAATGCCATCATTTATGCCTTTGCCGTGGAAACACCGCAGGTCAAGCTGGCCAAGGATCTGAAGGTCAAGAGCTACAATGTCATTTACCGCCTGATCGATGATCTCAAGGAGCAGCTTAGCAGCCAACTGCCGGCTTTGGAAGTAGAGGAGCATCTGGGCGAGGCCAATGTGCTGCAGCACTTCTTCATCAACGAGGGGCGCAAAGAAATTCCAGTGGCTGGCTGCCGCTGCACCAAGGGCGTGCTTAAGAAGTCCCAAAGGTTTCGCTTGCTAAGGGACGGCGAGGTTATCTACGATGGCACCTTGGAGTCAATGCGTCATTTGAAAAACGAGGTAGACTCGGTTAAAAAGGACGTGGAATGTGGCTTGCGCTTTAAGGATGCCAAGGTGCTGCCGCAGGCAGGGGATGCACTGCATTGCTATACCACGCACATGGAGGCGCAGAAAACGGATTGGGATCCTGGTTTTTAATTAATTGCCGCTTTGGATAGCTGCTTTTGTATTGTTGCCGCTGCTTTCGTTTGTTATCGCCATTTCATGCATATATCTATAGTTTTGTATTATATATTGTGTATAGTATATAAAACAAATCCACTATCCGACTTCCTGTTGATCTTACTGCTTACTGCTGGGGCTCTGCCACAGCCACCCTTCACCCACATGCCTAGCGCTTAGGATAACGCCGCTGCCGCAGCGGAACTGTCGCCGATAAGCCGCTGACAGCTGCGACAGCGACATCGACATCGACGATGACTGCGACGGCTGCGACTGCGTGCGCCCCTGGCTGTCCATATGCATGCCATGACGGAAGCTGTCTAAATGGGTCAAAGCAATGCTAATTGGAGTTAACCCACAGCAAGGCAGAAAGAAGCATAGCCAGTGCCCCACACCAAAACGTATTCTTCTCGCCTTTCTGATAAACGATTTCCGTTGGGGGTGGCCAATTAGCGCTTAGTTCTCCATTTATGAATGAGCTCTTTTTATTTAATACACATCGCATATTATATGTTACACACATACTTATTTTATACTTGTAATCGCACTAAATTGCTTGCCTTGAATATTGCGGATTTTTTTATTCGCGCTGCGACATAGTTACTTATTAGCTAACTGGAAGAAACTTTCCCTCGTGGTCTGCTGATTACAATGTTTTATTTTTAGTCACTGGAATCCATTAAACTAACTAAACACTGGGACAAATTTTTAATTTGGGCTAATATAATGTTCATAATGCGAAGCTCGTGGACTTAACACTAATTAAGGACATTTTGTAGACTGACTATGCGTTTGCGAAGCGAAAAGCTTTACAAGTCTTTCTTTTTGGGAGTCAAAATTCTTTTATTTTTTTGATTGTTTTGGGATTAAAATTCTTTTATTTTATTTATTTTTTTTTAGATAAAAATTCTTTTAATTACAACTACATATCTGAAACATTTATTAACAAAACACTAAAATTCCTAAGAGGTATTCTCATTCAAATTTATAAACAATTTTCGACATTATGCAAAGACCTGAATTCCTTACGTTGTTAGTATTGGGTATTAGTAGTATTATTTATTAAATCGTTTAAAATGAAGGATAACTGCAATTAACTTTTGATATGTTAGTTTTCTACATGTTGTTTTTGTCCTCCAAAGCTTAATATTTTTCTCCTCAGTTCGCAGTTATGAAAATCAACAAATTGTAATCCTTCGAAAATAGTTTATTTTAGACTTTTAGTATTCAATTAGTTCCTGGCCTGTAGTTAAACTGAATGAAAAATGTTTTCCATTATACAATTATCTATCAATCTACAAAATACAAGATATAAAATCTTTAGCTCAACAAATTTATTTTGAATTAAATTGTAAACTAGACCAATTCATAAAGTCTTTAATCAGAAAATATAAAAACAAAAAATGTTACATTTCTATTAAATTGATTCTTAAGTCAGTGTGCAGCGTGCTTAGGCAAAAGCCTTCATGGCTGTGGTTCAAAATCAGAGTGCGCTTATCGTATGTCATAGAGCTCCAAAAAAGCAAAAAAAAAAAAAAAGAAACGGAAATAAGAACTGGGATTAAGCTATTTTTGGTGTTTGGTGTTTGAGATTGTACACGGAAGCTATCGAAGACTGGAATGCGGAAATAATGGGCAGACAAAATGACCGAAATGTTTTCAGACTGAGCAATTCATGAATGAACTCGTACAATTAACACAGCTTAGTAATAGATACTATAGACACTCGATATGTCGAGGCAATGCCGTTGATGAATTTGCTGAATGAATTCGACAGACTGCATGCTATCCATGTCCATGTCTATATTTGTCTGGGCTGTTAAAAAAGAGAAGAAGACAAATCAGAGTATAAACAGGCACATGTGTGTTTTAGCAGCAATTAAGCCGAAATGGCTTCTGTTCCTACATAGCATTGCCTTGTATATTATGACAAGGATCGGCGGCGTGCAAAGGACCCTTGCTGCCCAAAATGCTGTCGACATGTGTTTATCTCGCCTCGCTCGTTAGCGGCGTCAAATGATCTTCAATTTCAATTCCAACATGTGAGACAACAACGGAGACAGTAAATCACCCGGCCCGGCCCGGCCCGGCCTGGTGGGTACTTTCAACATCCACATCACACACGTATGCACACGCACACGCACATGCATGGGGAACACACACGTGCAACGCATGAAGATCAGTTGCAAAGTTGCCAAGTTAAAAAAAAGAGAGAGAACCAGTTGGAAGTGGAGAGCGAAATGCGCGTGCGAATGCAGGCAACAAAAAACTCGCATCGAACTCAGTCGCTTGTGTTGGCTTCGAGTAGCCGGTTCCAAAAAGGATCATTCGCATTAACTTCAATAAGTGATCCACAACGATTCCCATTAAGTTTTTTTTTTTGAAAAAAAGAAGTATATACTATAATTGCATATACGAAATAAAAAACGCCGCTCGGCAACTGCCTAAGCCCTTTATCCAGTTTGGGGCTGATTAGAGACAACACAAAAAGCAGCGGAAGCACAGGCCCGCTGATCATGGCGCTATCGCCCCAGTTGCTTTGACGCCGACGCCGACGTCGCTGTCGACGCTGACGCAGCCGCTGAGGCAGACGACGCCTTGTGGTGGTGCTGCAACAGAATTAGAGCGATCTGGTCTCGTTCAGTTGGTGGCGTGCGCTCTAGGCCTGCGGGTGTACTGTTTGATCGTGATCGTGAACGTGTGTGTTGCAAGGACGTTAGCAAGGACGACGCCGCGATTTGATAGCCTTATATGTGTGTGTCCTTTTGGCAATGCGCAGGCGCAAAGTGCAAACGAATGTTCCAAGTGACAAGTGTGCCAAATAATTAACAAACTCAAGTGATAAACATTTCAAGTGCCTGTGCATCAGAAAGTCAACTTCTAAATATTTGTGCAGCGCCAAACGCTGTCGATTAGTATACAGCAGCAGCAGCAGCGAAATGGATTTATCGAGGCGGTTGCGGTAAGCATCTGACAAATATGTATCCCACAGATACAATTGCCAGCCCCCGCAGCAGCAGCAGCAGCAGCAGCAAGTGTTTGGCATGAAATTGATTCCTTTTGTGCTCGCCCACAAATTACACTGTCAATGCGAATTTTAATTTCATTTGAACTACATGTGCAAACACTTGACTTGGCTCCCAACTGCCAGCCTGGCTGACTGGCTTCCGCTGATTGTCCTGCACACATGTGTGTGGGCGAGTGTGCCTGTGTGTGTGAGTGTGCCTGTGTGTGTATGTGTGTGTGTGGACGTGCTGTCTGTGCAACAGGCGCTTCGTTGTTGACAGTGCGCGGCGACTGCCATTATCCTGGCCAACATTTTGTTTGCATGCCAAATTACATTTCCCGCTTAATTGAAGTTTGTTAATGAAAATTGCAAATTTTGCAAACAATTTCAAAAGTATCCTTGGCATCAATTGCCGCCACTCGCACATAGAGTTATCTATTAACTTAATAGCTTTAACCACATTCGAAAATACTCCTCAATAAATCTTTTTTAAATTAAAGCATATTTCTCTATAGTCGGATGCCTTTTTATATATATTATCTAAACATTTATAGGAACAATTGAAACTATGTGAAGTCATTCAATTCCAAGGATATCAAAATGCTTATAGAATAATTGTAGAATAGAAATTTGTAAAATGTCTTCGAAAATGATCAAAGTTCTTGTGGCCCACATATCGATATTTCCGGCTAGTCAATACTGAATCGGTTGCCTGTGTTACCTGTGCGGACAGCCGTTTTGTTTTTAGCTCTGGCTTTGTTAGCTTTTGAAATTTGTGTGCGAACACAGAAATCAAATCAAAATTTCATATTGAAATGTAAATATTTATATGCGTGTGTATGCCCATCGTGTGCGTGTGTGTGTGTGTGTGTGTAGATGAATCGCGTGTGCTTTGAAGTACACTCCCAAAAAAAAACTGATCAAGAAAAAAGAAAAACTTTGAAATGAAGTGAAACAGGCAGCCAAAAACCGCCAGCCAGGCCAGTTCAAAGTTGACGGCGACTCTCATGCTCTGCTCTGCAGCTGATAGATCTTGATGAAGCTGTGGCCGAGGCTGAGGCTGAGGCAGTTGCTCTCACGCACACGACGCTGGACATCTATCTTGCGTCTGATCTGAAGAAGCGCTGGCATTTGCCAGTTGACCGCAGCGCGCTGTGTGCGTTTTATTTTTGGCCAAAGTCATAAAGTTGCCGTCGTCAATATGCCCAGAAACTTGTTCCCCCTTTGCCAGACTGTGCCCTGGCCCGGCCCTGGCTCTGGGTCTGGCTGTGGCTGTGGCCAACTGGCAGTTAGCGCATCCATTCGTCAAGTATTTTAAAGTTTTTCGCGAAAAACGCTGTGTCTGCCACTTGAAAAAGGAAAATGCTGCGCGTTGTCAACGGCGAGGTCGTTTTTTTTTTGTTTTAATTTTAATTTTTTTTTTTTGTGGCAGCTTTGTTTTTTGGCCCCGCTTTGTTCTGTGAAATTGCGTCAGAATGTGGCCAACACATGACCTCTTTAGCGTTGACTTTGCCGGAGGCGATAACGACACGTGTTGGGCCATAGATTGAATCAAAATTTGCGGCAACATACGCATATTCTTTTAATCTACCTACATACAACAAACTGGATATTTATTCTAGATCTAAAAGCGAATAAACTGCTTAATTGAGGGAATATTTTAGAAGTTTTTTTTGGGAGCAGTTAAATAAACTTTTTATACAGAGTGTAATACAAAAATATGTTAAGTGCAATATACAAATTGATGTTTCACATTTTATCATTAGATAATGATATTCAATCAGTTTTTCATCATTTCGTTTTTTTCAAGCACATTTCTCGCAAATAGTCAGTGCACATGGCGAACAAATGCTTCAGATCAAGTATTTTTTGCACAGCTTTTATTCCTGTTTTCCAACTTGAAATATTTGCCGGTAAGTGATTCGATTATTTAGCTGGCCGACTTGTCACCGACATCAACTCGGCCCGGGTCAATAGACAGTCTGCGGTTTAATGGTACAACCTTAACATTTTAAGGCCCTCATCTGTGTGCGGGGCCATTAACTGGTCGTATAAGACTTTGATTGCGAAACTTTGTGGCTCGTGACGTCTTTGAACTTGACTCAGTCGCCGTTAATGTTGATCAGAGCTGGTGGAGAGTAAGGGGAATAGAAAAGATTGTTACTCAGCTGGCTGATATGCTATGTTTATGTTCATAGTTTAATGGGAATGTAGATCAAGTTAATGCAGAGCGCCAAAAATAAATGCTTACCTCTTACGTATATTCGTGTCTGTTGCCATTGTTTGTTATGTTTAAACTATAATTTTCCGCTGAAAACCACCAAAATTTCAGCAGCAACAACAACAACATGACCAAATTGTTTATTAAGTGTTTGTTAGCATTCATCTAAGTATAAACAATAAATTCCCCAAATTGAGATGCTTTCAAAAGGAAAATGATACACGTACATGTGATACAAAGTAAAAGTACAAAGTTCTGAATTGGCCCCAAAAAAACCGGCGAATCATGCAGCCAAGATTGGACACGATGGCACGAGGCAAACAAAAGCACATCGATTGCATAATTGAGCCTTAATTACTATTTATAATTTTGTTTAAACAAATGCTGATCTAATGTACTCCAAGGGGTTCCCAATGCCTTTGCTGCTGGCGCGAAAAACACGCCGGATATGTGCTTGAATTTTGAAATTTGATGTTGAGCATGCAGTTGGTGGAAAATGAAATTAACGAGAATATCGAATGATGCGGCAAATGAGCAACAAATTAAACACCAGTCCGGCAAAGACTTGGACAAACGACTCCGCTTGTTGCTGTTGCAGCAGCAGCAGCAGCAGCTGCGGTCCTTCCATGGCTCAATTACAGTCCAAGTTCATGGCAGCCATGCTGCACGCTGCATTTGCAACATGTGTTGAAACTGGCCCCCCAGTGGCAGTTAATGATCATGAGCTGGCGAAGATCTGCAGATCTTGTTCCCATGGCCTTATGCATTATGCTTAATTAACAAAGGCTGCCGACGACGTCGTGTTTAATTATTCCATGGCCCAGCGTTAAATCAAATGCCGGCTACCAGTTGCAAATATGTTAATTTTACGCCCAAAAGCACACATGCACATACATAAGCATATGCATATGTATGTACATGCATAATTAAATCGATAGTCGTCTGCAGGCGCAGCATTTTTCATGAGGTCGACGCACGCTGCAACGCGGAAGATAAAAAGGATGCCCCAAACAAAACACACACACAAAATATGCCGCCGCAAAATTGCAGAGTCCCAAAATAAAAAAAACCAGAAAAAGCCAAAAAAAAAAAAAAAATTTCGCATGACGGCAAAAATATCCAAAATTTGCCACAAGGCAACCGAGTGACAGTGGGCATTAGCAGGCAGCGCATGAGCCTCAACGAGATGCGTCACATGCAGCAGCAGCAGCAGCCGCAGCAGACGCAGCAGCAGCAGCAGCAGCAGCAAAATGTGCCCAAAAAGCTGCGCTGCCAGCAACAGTCGCAACAGCCGCAACAGCAACAAGTGAAGCAGAGCGCAGACAGAGCAAAAAGCCATAAAAATCTTTTGACTGGCAGCTTGTTGTTGTTGTTGTTGTTGCTGCTGCTGCTGATGTTGCTGCTGATGTTGTTGCTGCGGGATGTTGCAGACGTGACTCAAATTCCGATGACAGAACAGGAGCGAAAATAAAGCCCGAAATTGAAATAAAATAGGGACATCGAGCGAAAAGCACAGGACAAGTTTTTTTTTTTGTTTGCCCGACAGCCTGCAACTGCAGCTTGTTGCATCATTTAGCATTTACATAAATATATATGTATATCTTGTACACGTAGATAGCTTGATTTACCTGCCGCCACCTGGAAAGCAATAGCAGCAACAGCCGTCAGTTAATAGGAATTTGCAAGAAATGCTGCCGTCAGTGCTGCGAATAACAATTCCAGTTGATAATTGCGTAATAAATCAATGTCTGTTCTACATTTTGGCTGTCGGTCATTTAGTTAAAATGTAGTCGGATTCGCGAGCATCGTTTTTTACTCTTCAAAGCGATAAATGTAAATAATTGCATGGCTAAAAGGAAGAGCTATTTCTTAAGAACGTGTCAATATCTGAGGCAGTACGGCTAGTTAAGTTAGTCAGGTTCGCCTTTTTTATTAAATATTTCTTGCTACTGGAATACACACAATATTATAGCTTCTTGCTGTTGTATATGTTCGCGAGTTTTCATTAGATTGATTTTTATTTTTCAGTTTGAAGATATTTGAAATGTACTTGGAACCAATCTTAGCTTATAAGATCCACATGATATAATTGTGGTCCGGGCATTTGAATCCTGAACAATGTTATCCAACAGCGTTGTTTAAGATCCTCGGCTAGAGGATCATAGAGTCGATAAATTAAATTTTATTTTAAGTTCGATATTTTATTTATTAAATATCTTTATGGTCGCTGTTGCCTTATGCGCCATTTGTGTGTCTTTAGTGGTGAGTCGCCAGGTTTTTAACAATGTAAAAATATGTTTAACAAATTTTATATACTGAATAAAAATATAAATTTACTTTTATACACACTCAAGTTATACGTCGACACCTCCTTCTGTGCTTCGGCAACGTTCTACGAGTAGGAAAATTTCCTGGTACAATCCGTTTCAGCATTCTGCCCAAAAATTATAAAGCGATAAAAGAGAACATTTAATCCTTATGTTTTATTGCAAAGCGAGGTCCAGATAGTAATTAATTAATTAATCCATAAATAATGAATTCCGGCAAAGGACTAAAAATTTCTAAATATCGAAAATATTTTTTATTCCCAATAAACGATTAGTACAAATATTCTGGCCTGGAAGGGTGATTCTTTTTTTTTTAAAGGTTTTTTAAGTTGTTTGCTTCTTCAATTCAGTAAAATATTTAATGGAATGAATACAATTTTAAACTGTGAGAATATAATAATTAACTG